TAAGTGGCACCTCTAGCCTCATCTCCATGGACACACAATCCAACTGTGCACGAAGATGTCCAAGTTTAATCTACGCTTTGAATTTTTCACGCAACGGGCCATACAACAGTGGAATAATCTCCCAAAATCCGTCGTGGAGGCCACGTTCCTGTAGCCGTTCAGACAACGCTTGAATAATTACAGTTATCCCCTGTTGTACCTCGACAGTATAAATTCGAACTAACACCCAACAAATGCTACAGGGCTCGTCCAGCGGAATCTCCGGGACAGTAGCTTTGAGGCGGTCCATGCTCACGACCTCCTGTCGTGGTCCTTGAAGGATACGGAAGGTCTTCTCACCTCAACAGACGACGCGGAACGGGCCATCGCAGTAGGGTTCGAGCAACCGACGGATGCTATGTCATCGTAGAAGCACGTGAGAGCATTTTGCCAAGTTTATTTCGAGATAAGACTCGGAGACAGAAGGTCTGGGCGGAACCGGGGACAGCGTCTACAAAAACTGCCGGAGTTGATGTAGGGGGTTCGCAGGATCCTCGACCGCACCTGGATGGGATGGCAAAATCATCTCACCGGGAAGTCGGACAGGGACACTGAACACTAGCTCAGCGGCGGAACAGTCAACGTCCGGCTTGAAGGAGGAACGGATGCCCAGAAAGACCAGAGAAATATGGTACGTCCAGTTCTCTGGATCGACCGCAGCGCGGAGGGAGGCCTTCAAGTGCCGGTGGAGGCGTTCCACCATTCTATTGGCAGGCGGGTGATAGGCTTTATTGCAGATGCGACTACAGCCTAAAAAGATAGAAGAGCCTGGAATAGTAGCGACTCAAACTGGGCACCACGACCAGCCATGATGATAGAGGGAGCACCAAAAATCGCAACATAATGTCTTTGGAAGGCCATGACAGCAGTTGGAGAAGAAACATCTGGAATTGGGATCGCTTCCGGCCACCGGATGTATTGATCAACATGTAAAGAGATAGGACCAGCAGCTGGACAGAGGTAGAGGGTCTACATTGTCGAGATGGATATGGCTGAACCTTGCGTCGGGGTTTGGGAAGGCGCCGATGGGAGCTTTATTATGCCCTTAAACTCTTCTCCGTTTAAAACCGAGACAAACCCGAGTACAAGTTTTCAGGTCCTTGTGCATTCCAGGCCAGAAAAGTGGCGGGAAACAAGCTTTTCGTTGGTTTGACTGCCAGGGTTAGAAAGGTTGTGGTGGTGGCACAAAGGGACGACGGGAGGCGGTAGAAACGTCACAAAGAGTGGTGCCGTTGCCAGTAGCCAGCGGCAACTCCTGGAGTTGGAGTATGGAAACATGCTCATAAACGGTCAAACCAACACGGCGTTGGTCGGTAGCCATCTCAGTGAGGTCGATCCCAGGAGTGAGTTGCAAATTAGCAAGAGAGGACCTGGACAGTGCGTTAGCCAACTCATTGCGTAACCCACCGATGTGACGGATATCTGAGGTGAACTGAGAAATGTAGTCCTATTGACGAATATCCCGGGGTTCAAATTGTCTGATTGTTACTTCAATGCGTAGATGAGTAATTGTGGTCAGAGAAAACAGTAAGTTTCTGCCTTCGAAAAAGTGCCGAAAATGTTTCACGGCGAGGTAGACAGCTAGGAGCTCCCGTCCAAATGTGCTATAGCGCGATTCGGCAGGTTTTAACTTTCTAGAGAATAAAGCTAAAGGAGGGTCTGAGCCGCGCCAACTGCGACATTGGAAGCATCAACCATGAGTGAGATGGGAGCATCAGCGACTGGATGCTTCAAGAAAAATGACATCG